AAGTTAAATATCTTCTTTAAAGCAGCTTGTTTCTTATGAGCAGGGAAATATTTTTCAGAGAAGTAGTAAATCATATCCTGGGACTATGCACACAATGAGGAGCAAGAGAATTAAACCATAGCTTAGCATCACCCTTTAACGAGAAAGGAAACAACTTAAAAATATAGTAATAGCAAATTTTTTTCCTTATGAGCAAATAGCGTGGCTATATCATTCAATTTAGTAAGATGTGCCACAACAGTTACAGATTCATAACCATGGAAAGGATCAGATTCAACCAAAGTGATTAACTCAAGATCGACAGAGAATTTATAATCCTTATCAGTAACAAAGATAGGTGAAGTAGCAAACTTAGGATCATATTGCATTCTAGCATTCAAAGATTTTCTTTCCACTTGCATAATAATTTCTTAAGATCATCTCTATCCTTACAAGCAAGTAAGTCCCTAGCTACCTCTCCATCCATAACATAGCCCTCAGGCATAACAGGAAGTTCATATCTAGGAGAGCTAGGTCTAACAGGTGTTTCAAAGTTTTCAGTTTCAATAATTTCATCAGTTTCAGAAATATCATCATCTTCAACATAATCAATAGTTCTAACCAGTGGCACAGTTGTATCAAGCAGAGTAGTAGCATCATAAGCATCATTCTTAGCATAAGTGGCATCATCAATAACATGTGACATATCAGAATTACTAGCAGGTGTAGGTGTCGCAAGCTTACTCAAAACAGAAGGTGAATCAAGTGCAGAGCTAGATGGCAGTTCCTTACCTCCCCTCATAGTAGAGGGAAAAATCTTGGTTCTAGTATCTTTCAAATTCTTCATAGTAATCAACAGATATAAATCCCAAGTGACTCAGAGAATAGAGCTATGCTCCCCGGCAAAGGTGCCAGAAAAAGGTCTTGACAACCCACAAGTATAGGGGATCACAACAGTTTTCGAGGGTAGAGTATTCAACCCAAATTTATTGATTCGACATAAGGGGATCCAAAGAATATTCTCAAGTATTAGCAGCTGAGTTGTCAATTCAACCACACCTGAAAGACTTAACATCTGCAGCAAAATATTTAGTAACAAAGTAGTATGGAAGTAATAGTAATGATGATAAAAGTAACAGTAGCGGTTTCGTAGCAATTGTAACAGTGGCAACGGCAAAGCAACGTAGCAAAGATCAATATGTGAAAAGCTCGTAGGCAATGGATCAATGATGGATAATTATGTCTGATGGCATTCATCATGCAACAGTTATAACCTAGGGTGACACAGAACTAGCTCCAATTCATCAATATAATGTAGGCATGTATTCCGAATATAGTCATACGTGCTTATGGAAAAGAACTTGCATGACATCTTTTGTCCTACCCTCCCGTGGCAGCGGGGTCCTAATTAAAACTAAGGGATATTAAGGCCTCCTTTTAATAGAGAACCGGACCAAAGCATTAGCACTTACTGAATACATGAACTCCTCAAATTACGGTAATCACCGAAAAGAATCCCAATTATTGTCACCTTGGGGTATGCGGGTCATAACTCGTAATAGGTGTCTACAACTTGCAAGGTAGGATCAAGAACTCACATATATTCATGAAAACATAATATGTTCAGATCTGAAATCATGACACTCGGGCCCTAGTGACAAGCATTAAGCATAGCAAAGTCATAGCAACATCAATCTCAGAACATAGTGGATACTATGGATCAAACCTAACAAAACTAACTCGATTACATGATAAATCTCATCCAACCCATCACCGTCCAGCAAGCCTACGATGGAATTACTCACGCACAACGGTGAGCATCATGAAGTTGGCGATGCAGGATGGTTGATGATGACGATGGCGACGATTTCCCCTCTCTGAAGCCCCGAACGGACTCCAGATCTTCCCTCCCAATGAAGAACACGAGGTGGCGGCGTCTCCGTATTGTAAAACGCGATAAATCCTTATCTCTAACTTTTTTTCTTCCCGAACATGAATATATGGAGTTGGAGTTGAGGTTGGTGGAGGTCCAGGGGACCCACAAAGGTAGGGGGCACGCCCTCCACCCTTGTGGACAGCCTGTGGGTCCCCTCCGGTTGATTCTTTTGCCAATATTTTTTATTTATTCTGAAAATATTCTTCATGGATTTTTAGGTCATTCCAAGAACTTTTATTTCTGCACAAAAATAACACCAAGACAAATCTGCTGAAAACAATATCAGTCTGAGTTAGTTTCATTCAAATCATGCAAATTAGAGTCGAAAAAAAAGGCAAAAGAGTTTGGAAAAGTAGATACGGTGGAGACATATCATGGCGGCACTCCGATGTCGTCCCCTTCCTGAAGGCACGGCCTTAGAGCCCACGGTTCGTGATATGCGGCTTCACCTCTTCGCATAGTGATAGGCATGGTGTTGCTGTGATCCGCGCCTATGTATCCTGTCTTGGGTGTGTGCGCGTGAGTTGTGGGGGCGTGCATTTGTACTAGGTGCTGTTGATCGTTGGTTTATATATAAAGGGGCGAACGCCTTTTCGGCAATAGAGAAGCAAATAAAATTGCTCATGAACTTGCCAAATTGGTTAGACTTTCTTTTATTTTTGAATGGTTCGAGGAGCCAAATAGTGATATTGTATCAATTCTCACAAACGATGTAATGGTTTTTTCTAATGCATAAAACTTGATTTTCTTTAAAAAAGAGAGTACTTAGTGCAGACATCTGTTACCCATGATTGGGTCACAAGTGTTTCCTTGTGCGCTATGCGCCTGGCGGATTTTTCAAAAAGATCCGTCGGCTCGTGAGCCATTGGATTAAACGCTGGGTGGTCGTCAGATTCAACTGCCAGCCTGCAACAAGGATGATTTTGCGCTCGGATGTTTTCAATAGAGTTCATGTTGCAGAACTTTTACAACAGAGGTATTATTGCATAAATTGTTTTGCAATAGAGCTAATGTTGCAGGATATTTTTTGCTTTCATTTATATAACGCTATCGAAGAAAGTTTTGCAATATCACTGATGTTGCAGAAATCTTTCTTGCAATAGGGTGAATGTTTGAAAAAGCTCGGCGATGATGTGGTCTGCAACTTCGGTTGCGCTGGGGAAAGGCTTCTAAAACACGGGTCAAGTTGTAGCAAATGAAGTGGGAGAGGTTGGCTCTTGCCCATCTAATCATTAACATATCTGGTGGCCACAAAGACAGTCGACGTGAGCGGATAGATCCGCTGGGTGATCACAAGCGTTTTCCGATATTAAAACAAAAGTCTGATGTTTAGTCACTTTTTATAAAATAGCTCGAATGATAAGTGTCACATATGTGGCACGAAGCACTTCGGCTCTAATGTTTTTTTTCAACTAAAACAAAATTGCCATAAAAATTATACTTGTCATTCAGAAAAAAATTGTCATACTCGCTTCACTAAACTTATCATAAAAAAATATTCAAAGTTGTGCCACACGTGTGACACTTGTTAGGTCCAAATAAAAAGAGAAAAGAAAACGGGATCGTTTTCCTCCAACAGAAACAGAAACAGAAACCAGTGTGCCCGGATCGAGAAATCCCATCCTCCGCCCAACCACAATGCCGCCGCCGCCGGCGCGCCGCACCCTCGGTGGCAACGCCTCGGCCCCGCTGACCAGCCTCCCGGACGACCTCGTCGAGGAGATCTTCCTCCGCCTGCCCACGGCCACCGACCTCGCCCGCGCATCCATGGCCTGTGCCTCCTTCCGCCGCATCATCGCCGGCCACTTTTTCCTCCGCCGCTTCCGCGCCCTCCACCGGCCGCCTCTCGTGGGCGTACTCGCGTACGACTCAGCCGAGCGGAAGAGCCTCTCGGTCGCCTTCCTCCCGGCCCAGCCGCCCCACCCCTCCGCTGCCGCGGCCGCCCTCACCCTCGCGGCCGCCGACTTCTCCTGCTCATTCCTACCCTCCCCGGAGCTCTGGAGTACCCGTGACTTCCGCGACGGCCGCGCCCTCCTCTCCAAGCAGGGGGATTCGCTGGCCAACCTCGCCGTATGCGACCCGCTGCACCGGCGCTACCTCCTGCTACCTGCCATCCCCCACGACCTAGCTGTTCTAGCCAGGCAGCTGAAGCTCATGCATTGTGGACCCTTCCTTGCTCCTGCTGGCGAGAACGAGGGTGACAGTGCCAACGCTCCCTCGGGCTTCAGAGTCATGTGCTTGCGCATGTCCTCAACCAAGCTAGTCCTCTTTGTCTTCTATTCGTCGGGTGCCCGTGCCGGCCAATGGCACACTGTCACATTTGATGGTTGGAGCGCCTTGATCGCACGATATGTCAGCGCGTGTTTCTTCCCGGGCACTGTGCCACTGCCCATACGTCGCCATTATGCGCACGGATGCTTCTATTGGGAGATACCTTATACCCGCAAGTTGCTCGTGTTGGACACGCTCATGGAGTTCTCTTCTCTCAGCCCCCTACTCGGTCGTTATCAGAGGGTCTTTGTGGAGGCAAGGGAAGGAAGGCTTGGGATGATTAGTCATGGTATTAATGGAGATCGCCTCTTGTATGACATTTTGCGAGATAATGAGGATGGCACAAAACAATGGCAAATGGAGGACGTAATTCCGGTGCCCCATTATTATGACTATACCACCGTTGATGTTGCTGGGGGATGCTTACTACATAATGTGCTTCTAGATAACCCGGAGTTTCCAAGCTTCAATTTTTATTCACTGGATCTCCAGACTTTGAAGCTTGGGTGGTTCCAAGGTTTTGGTTACCGGTCGAAATTTCGAGATTTACCATGGTTACCGCGTATTTCCGTGCCCCTCGGTAAATCCACGTACCAAGCAAAAAATACCAATTATTTGAATTTTTTGAATTTAAACACTCAATTTATAGTAAAGTACATAGAATCTAATTAATACCATGAGAGTTGGTTTTGGCTTGTTGGTCGGAACCTAGTTCCTGTTTTGAGAGGTCTTTGGTTCAAATGTTCGTTCATTAACTTATTTGAATTCAAAATTCAACTATAAAATTCGTTCGGAATATTCTCGGTATTTTTCGGTATTTCTCGGTAACCATGGTAACCGCGTTTTCCAGTCCCCCTCGGTAAAAATGCCTCATTCGGTAACCAAAACCTTGGGTGGTTCTGTGAGCCTCCGTATTGGTGCACCCCCTCGCTTACCTATCTGTATGCAGGTTTCCCTCCATTCTTGTCTCCACCAACTATTTGAAGGGGTAAGCTTTGCTCCTTGTTTTTGCTTGTATTGTTCATGCCATACCATATATAGCACTGGTTGGTATTGTAATATGATGCAAGTATTAGTTGATTCGATGGTAACATGCTCTGTTATTCTACTAATTTTAGCAAACAATCCTCACTATGGAGGGGTGTCCAAGTTATCTCTTGCCCATAACAATCCTCATGGTGCCTTTTTTAGGTGTTTAAATGGTATTCCAATGCTTTACTTTATTATTCACATAGAGTATGCAGTTGGAATGATATGAAATTCAGGAACGCAAAAACACTTCTTTCTCATATTGTGAATAACTTGATATGCATTTTACATTTTAAGTCTGTCATATAAATAAAAGAAAACAACAAAGCAGCGACGTACTATCCCTAAAATGCTGTAGCAAGCTGGAGATGCCAGATCGAGGAACATGACAGGGAGGGGTGTCAGGTACGAGTGGCACCAAGAAGGGGCTGATTTCAGATCAGCACACAAGCACATGCAGAGCCCAGCAGCTCTGTAGAGGCCAGCTGGCTGCCGCCGCGCCGTGAATACCGGAGGCACTACCTCCAGGGCCGGCACGCGTGCAGCAGCAACAAAAGTGAGAAGGGGAGGTGGGTGCCCACTACCGCTGTGGGACGGCCACGCCGGCGCCACGGTGCAAACTTTGCCCCGCGGCGCTTTTTGGCGGCGGGGAGGGGACTGAGTGGCAGCGGGTCGGAGAAGGGTCAGGGTTCCTCCCTGTGCTGCTCTAGTGGAGTTGCTTTTATAATGCTTGATTAAGCTGGATTTGGACATGTAGTGTTATCTTTTTGTTAACCCCTTGGCTTTCAATAGGTCCTTGTCCTGAACATGCTCATGCCATTCCCGGTTTGTTGCATTAACTAATATCTTTGCAACAGTAAGATTAAATTGTGTAAAGACTGGGTATCAGTGACATCAGTAGCAGCAACACCACCTTTCATCATAACTAACACTAAAACTGATTTTATAGTTGTTAACAAAATTACCCATACATACAGAAGACAGCTCCAAAATAAACAGTGTGCGCATGTTGAAAGCTAATATGAGTGGGAATCTTATTCAAGAGGCATTACTCTAAATCGAATAGGTGAAAAGGAGGGAATGTCTATGCTGGATGGGGATCCATCTGTGCACCATCTATTGCTGAGTACTGTTATGCTTATGCATGTTTAATGGATTCACATCGGGCTGGTGGGAGGGTGAGACTCACAGTTCAGTTTTCCTAAAACTAGTTTATGTTAAGATGGGTTCCTCCTGCCATCATTCATCTATAAGAGTTTGCCATTGTGCTAACATATAGTGATAATTAAGCAGAAATACTAGTAGTTTACTTCGTGCCGCGCAGTTATATATCGCTTCACGTATGGCTAAAGAGTATGGGTACTTCCAGAGGCTTCAAACTGACTGCTTATCATGACAATGCTGACACTAGCAGCGTCTTGGAGATAATGCAAGGAAGAATCAGTTCCATCACGTACAGCCATTTAACCTGCATTCTGATTGATAGGTGACGAGCTGTGAAGTAAAATTTATGCATTTCGGATGCCATGCTAACGCTTATCCCCAGTAAAACAAATGTCTGCTCTTGAACCGCAGTTACATAGTTAGTTTTACTTGGCCAGACAAGTTTTGAAAACAAACATGTTTGCACGTAGGTTGGTCTTTTAAGCTTATGTTCCAACCAGACGGCACACTCAACTTTTGTCATTGGCAGAATGGAATGCGTCGATTGATCCTCTGAAAGTAGGCGCTTCAATTCGTCGCATCTAACGAGAGTGGTTTCTTGTCACATGCTGTTGTTGCAGGGCTTAATCTGGCTGGTTGTGCTGGTTATTGCAAGGAACTGATGATACATACACATATCAAGCAATTGTCCCATCCTTGTGATGACATCTCCTTAACTCAAAAGTAAATGTCTGATGACCAGCTGGTTGGCAATGGATCGTCGATCGATCGGTCTACTTTCTCAACCCTGTGATTGCAATATGCATGTTTCCTTCCAGTTACAGCTTTTATTTGTACTTTATGCAATATGTATGTCTGCATATTATGCTAACTGATTCTGTGTCTAGTATGGATGATACAGGCGTATGTTGTGTGTGTATGTGTGTGCGGGTAAGTGCCCTTTCGTTAATTTGTATGTCATTAATTAGGATGCTTCATTTCAACCTAGTGTCGCCATGATAACGTGACCTTGACCAGACTCTCTGCAGAGCAGTGACAACCTTGCTATTTGGCTCAACCAAAGAACAGACACCCAAAGTTTGAAAATCTATATGGATCCAGACCAAACACTCTTGTTTTGCCAGGCTGTTGGCCATGCTTAGGTTTTGGTGACACCAAGATTTGGTAAGGTTGGTATGGTCAAGCAATCATGTATCTCAAAATAAATCAAATTGTGATAGTAACAAACATTGTCAGCCAGGAAGTAGTACCCAGCTACAACATGGAAATTGTTTATAGTGCATATATGGCTTTCCCCGAATAATCAGTTTAGTACTACCTGTAGGAAAATACTGATAATGCACATTTTCAGGAGGTATTATTAGAAAGGTTTCATAACAGAGGAAACCCAACTCATTGGACCGCTGTCTACCGGATATTAGTATTTGATTTGAATAAATATTTGGTTGAAAAAAAATCTAGAAGAACAGGACAAACACTAGAAAAGTACAAATTGATTGAGATATAGATACTCTGTTCTTTTCCTCGTGGTTCAGCAAGAGAACTGTTGTACAATATTCTTTCTCTACGATCAATATTTTAAGGTTTAAAAGCCAAACCATAACATTTAGCTTATTAAGATTCGGTAAAACAAGGGGAAATGTCTAAAGACAATAAAACAATGATGAAATGAAGCATCCAAATTAATTTATTTGTTGCAAATGTGTTGCCTCTTATTGAGTTTGAATATATGCCTCAAGAGCTTCCAGGCTTTGAGAATTATTCTAACAAGCACCATTTCATTGATAAGATGTACTTTCATCTCATTGAGCTGTTTTTTTTTCCTTGGCATTTTTACCACTTCCCAGGGAAAACATAGAATCCTCGATACGAGCCTTGATGGTATCAAACCCTTTGAGGTTACGGTATTGCGTTTGAGCCGCAAGGGGGAAAATAGCATCAGGGGCAAGCTTCCTCTGCTTGATGTAATTCCAGAGCTCATCGACTACATTATCAGTGTGAGTTGCAAGCAATCTAGTGGTGTTCAAGAAGATCTTCTGCATAAGTTTCTAATAAAGAACATCTTTCACTTCGAGTGCTTATAGTACACATAACAAAAAACGTCGACATCTAACTCTATCAGCATCCTACACTTATAATTGCAGAGAAACTTGACTCATTTCCCATTGATTAAAAAGAAAAGGTGCCCCCTGTATTATGGACATAAATACATAAGGAGTTCTAAAAGGTAAAATTGTCCCTCTCACAAGTTGAACTATACAAAATCACATTTCTTAAGGATTGTTAGAGAGGTAGATTTAAATAACTGGGATGAGATGATTTTTTTTTTTGCAATTATGTAACCAAAGTAGTCTTTTATATAAGGAAGGATTTAACACAACCCATCTCAGGCAGCCAAAGAAGATGTGTATGTAATCAACATACCTCTTCCTGTAGTTCTTGTCAACCAATAGGTTGTCCTCCAGATACTGATACTTATGATGGCAAGTGTTCATGATGGAAACATGGAGGCGGCCCTCCATGGAGTGGGAAACCCTTGGCCGGCACGGCAGCCCCCCAAAGTCGACGCCTTTGGCGCCGATCCCCTTCCTGGAGGCTTTGGGGCGGTCCCTCTCCCTTCTGCCTCCCTCCTGAGCTCCGGCGAAAGCTGATACTCCCCTAATCCGGGCGTCGATAGCACTTCGATGGCGTGCTCCTTCTTGAAGGCGGCGGCTGGGATTTGCTCTTGTTGGTGGAGCAATTGATGTCTTGGTTTCGAAGCATGATGGCCTGGTATTCCTGCTACATCCTGCTCAGCTTCTCCCAGTGCATAGTGATGCCCTCTTTGGTCTTCTTCATGGGTGTGCGCCTTCGTTCGACAGCTCGCTTCCCATGCCCCGTGCTGCCACTGCCGACTATGGTTCTTGTCTGGTTGGTCTCCCGTGGTTCGCAGGCCAGCTTTGTTTGCTTCTCCTATGGTAGCTCGGACACCTATGCGGTAGCCACTCTGTCGGTCGCCTGTGCGGCACTCGTCGAGTCTGGGTGAAAGGGTAGTGGCCATTTGCGACGGCGGAGACAGCTCAAGTGTTGCCCAGGTTTGGCTTGTTGATGCAGCTGACGCTCAATGCTTGTTCGGTGTGGCCCTTCTTCCGTGCACTTAGTTGGCTAGTCGGTGCAGGCGTAGTGCTGGTTGTTGGCATCGGCGTTCCTGTTGTTGCCTTTGTGTTATTCCGCCTAGTTCCTTGTATCTTCCTTTTCGATTTGCTTTGCATCTCCTTTGTAATGTGGTGCCCTTGTAATCCTGGCCGGTTGATGGCTTTGTTAATTCAAAGTCGGGCTAGGTTCAAGCTCTTGTCGGGTTCGGCCGGCGCCTTTTCTCTAAAATGATATGTTAGTGAACATGAGAAAGGATAAACGGGGTGCATATATCACAAAGAAATCGGACAACATGATGGCAGTTGTGCATGCAAACAGGTGCATAAATGCATTTAAATCAGACGCAAAGATGGAAACATATATTTTCTAATATTTTGGCTACTTTTAGTTTTATACCACAGAATAAACTATTCAATGTACCTATTTGTTTTTTAAGTTCACATCATGCACCGGTGCTAGCGAATTTCTCTATCCGTGAGTTTGTGCATATTACTAGATAATGCAACGCCCTCTACGGGTGTGTTAAGTAGCATATGGACCTAGCCTAGTTGTTTTTCTCTCATACATGCTGAGTGTAGACATGTTGAATTCATGCATTTGCTGTCATTTGGCAGCGGTATATGCGCTGAGACATGCTAATCTGAGACTTTGTTTGGCAGTCTGCATGTGTTTAGACATGCTGAGCAATTTCGAATTCCGAATAATTTTCTTGTATGGTTAAAACAAAATTAAACATATTTTGAAATTCTGAACTTTTATTGAAAATTTAAACAAAATTTGAAATTCTAAACATTTTTTGGAAATTTAAATAAAATTAAAAATTCAAAATATTTTTTTGAAAATATAAACATATTTTGAAAGTCTGAATTTTTAAGAAAATTTTAAAAATTTTGAATTTTTTCAAAAATTATAAACCACATTTGAAAATTTGAACATTTTTGTTAAACAAAACTTGGAATTTTGAACGCTTTTTAAAATTTAAACGAAATTTGAAATTATAAACATTTTCAAAAATTTAAACAAATTATGAACATTTGAAAATTTAAACGATTTTGAAATTCTGAACATTTTCAAAATTTAAATGATTTTGAAATTCTGAACTTTTTTGAAAATTTAAACAAAATTTGAAATTCTAAATATATTTGGAAAATTTAAACAAAATTTGAAATTTTTCAAAAATTTAAATAAACTTTGAAATTCTGAACAT